TGCGTGATTGATGCTTCCGGATGTCTCTTGCAGCTGCGGCAGTCGCCTTCCGTTTGTCAATAATTGATTGAATTACTTCTTGTAATCAATCCCTCCAGCCAATGCTTCTAAATGCATTCAATTTCACTGAGTTGTATCGAAATTTCATTATTAAGAATTACAATGAAAATAAAAAACATGTTGTGGTCCCAGTCTCTCAAAGTTGGATAACCCTACACAAGAAAAAACTTCAAACTTGAAGGAAAAAATAGTATAGCACAAGGGGGTCATGAACACCTCGCGGTCGCGCGCGCCGATCAACCTCGGCCCTTCCTTTTGTGGATGGACCTGTATATACACATTGAACGTGTGCGCAAAGCGGGGGGAAAAAGGTGACGGGGTGGGGTTCCGCAAAAGAAAGAGCGAGAAGACACGTTTGCCCTTCACCTCCACCATGAATTGAACAAGGACGAAAAAAGATAAAGGAGAGAAAAGGAATCACGGTACCATGGGGGAAGAGAGTGTAGCGGGGGACGAGCGACTGCTTACATCTTCATTAGGCCCTCATGGCTCCGGTGGAACTGAGTGAGACGATACTAGTACAATAAAAGAAAGAACAAAACAGAAAAACCAAGAAAAAATGAGGGACAGAGAATGAGACAGTAAGAGGGATAAATGCCTCAAGTTTGAGCATGCAAGAAGGAAAACTACAGGGTTGGCTTTTGTAAGAATCCCAGCGGGGATAAGAGTCAGAAAGCGAGCGTTGTCCAAAGACCCACCGGGAATCCGTTGTTGTTGCACCAAGAGCCGACGGACGGTGCCATAAACAAAGGATCTCATCTTCTCTTTATTATTACCATTATGTTTACCATATTTATTTCTTCATAAAAAAACTCAGTATTCCCTTATACACTTACATTCTTCCCTCCGCCTTTGTTTTACCTGCTTACGTTTTGATTTTCGTTTCAAATCAATTACTGCATAGGAAATATACTCTAAAAGTTCAAATATTTTGCTGAAATTTTTTTAATGCCTCAAGTAACTCTTCTAGTTGAGTCTGATGATGATAAAAGTCGTCGATCGGTCAGGGTTGAGTAGAAAAAAAAATATTTTCGTTGGCTCGGCCGCAATTTTTCACGTGTTACGGATACGGAACTCCGAACAGCGCCGCCTGTGGCGATATTTGGCTGTATTCTTACGAGAAGCCGATGAGGGATTCCCTCATCGTGCGCCTATTGACGGGTTAATTGTGAATGAAAGAAAACGTCTCTTTTAGGCATGAAATGAAAAACAAAAAAACAAAGAGATGATGAGTTATTTCACGATGAAGTTTTGCGGTCCAAGTTTCCCAAAAATTAAATATTCGATTCATTCATGACAATGTGATACATTGTACTGCCTCAATGTCAGTGAAAATGAGAATGAAGCTGAGAATGATGGAAGAAGGAAAAAATAAAAATTGGAATTTTAGGAAGGTGAGGGGAAGGGGTGAAAGGGTGGAGGGCGAAGAGTTTTGAAGAGTCAGAGCATTTGAGCACCACCGGGCATTGGATGGTGGCTCGGTTCCGGTGAATGGTCGCGGTGGGTGGCCCCAAGCTTGGAGCTCCATGGTGCGCCAGAGAGTCGAACAGTCAGCCGAGCGTCCAGCAGTGGGGCCCCTGTGTGCCAGTCTGCCAGTACACAACTGCGGTGACTAGAGACCAGAGGAAGACTAAAGAAGTTTTTCTCTCTTGGTTTTTTTCCGTCCTTCTTTTATGAGGGGCCTGTCCCTGTAGTATACAGTGAATACCAAGTTGGGTACTCTTCTTTAATGACCATCAACCCCAAACTTTTATCATTGGAGAAAAATGAATTTCCTTAGAATGTTGGGGTCAATAGTTTGGGAATTTATACAAGAATCATACGCTTGGCCCTGGACGTTGGGTGGTTTAAATCTACTTTCAATAATGTTAAATATAGGAAAACGATTCGTAGTCAAATTCAATATTCCTTCTAATCGATTCCATTATTCTTCAATTTCAATATGAAAAAGTTCAAATTCTGATCTATTTTTTCCCGACCTTGTTTCATTTTTATTTGACTCGGGTTTATCGACAATTGATTCAACATCTTAACAAACCCTGGGCACTTTAATCAAAACATTGATTGAAGTAAATTTTCTCATATCGTGAACAAATCTCAGCGACCTGATGAAAATGATTTTTCATCGCTCTTTGTGAAGTTCGCCGACACTTTGAGAAAAAAAACATTTTTACTTCAGACATGTACGGATCCATCTCAGTATCAACGCCCCCTTCCTGGTCGCAAGGAATCAACCGGCGGAACATAAGTATCGACATTTCGCTTGATGAGTTCGTGAAAGCTTTCCTTTAACTTCACTGTTTTTCTTTTGAAATAGCTAGGCAAGGTTATGAAAACAATCTCGACCTATTATCTGGGGTTTCCTCCATGAGAAAATTGTCAGATGTGGCAGGGTGGATGTGGATTTTCGAGGAAAGTGGGCGAAGGAGGACTGAGAATTCAATAAGCACACGTGGCACTTATTTTAACACGCCGTTAAACAGTCCACACGTGTTTCCTCATAGTTTTTCTTCATTTCTCAAACTGCCGACACTGAGAGTGGATGAACCAAATATATTACAGGGCTTGAATATGCATAATACGGAAGTGAACACTCGAGAGAAGGATGTACAGGAAAATGTAACATGAGCATATCGGCTATTGTTGTAGAAGGAAATAAAAAGTTATCAACAAATTGTATTTAATCTCTCAGTTTCGGAACTAAGAAAAAAAATCAAATTTGCCAGTTGTTCTGAACTAGTTATGAGATTTCTGCTCAATTCATTTTATATAAAAAAAATTGATAAAAATGACAAAAAATTGCAATCAATAATAAGAAATTATGTGGCCTAGAATGAAATAACGATCAGTTGGTAATCGAAGTAGGCCGGTGTGCATGATAGGAGCGACGGCACTAGATAAACGGCCAAAGTCCTGGTGGCTGCAATTACGGTAGCCGGAAGGGTACCAACTGAGCCTCCCCGTCTTCTCCTCTCTCCCGTACTCTTATCCCACCGTAACATAACTCGATACAAATAGCGTACAGAGACGGATAAATAATTACAGAGACGCCCTGTCGATAAATCAAGAAATTTTCTCCCTCTACCTATAAAACCGTAATACTCCTCTCTCCTCGTACCCTTTGGTCAGGCGTACACGTTGACTCCTTTATTCCAAGTGCCTCCTGGCATTCATCTTTCTTGCCCTGTACTGTCTTTATTACGAGACAGGGACGCCAAGGCGCCCGCATTCTACCGGCTGATTCATCCGGCGTTATTTTGCAGGGCATTAAGACCAGTAGGAAGCACGTGGACGGGTTAACGTTACGATTGTACCATTTGTATATCTATATATTTTTTCTCTCTCTCTCTCTCTTCATTTGTGCGGTAATGATCGCAATAGCCAAAATTTCCCACTCTCAAATTCCATTTAAAACAATTCATCCGGATTTTCTAATCTTGGGCAGTGGGCTGGTTTTTTCCACAGCTGACAGATGTTTATTGAAAATTTACAAAATTATTGCGGTATTTTTATATTATTCAACTGCATCATTATCATTGCCAAGCTTTCGATGCTGAGAAATAATCATTGCATTCGAAGAGAATTTTTTTTTTTCAAATTACATTGAATAAATTCTACCCTTAGAATTGAATCCTTTCCTTTCACCAAAGGAGGCAATAATAAAATTAGACACTGATTTACTATCTTCAGTTCCTCTCCCCTTGAATTTTTTAGTCGTTTTCCCAAAGACTCAGTTGACAATAGAAAATTCATACCTTTTCCGTGTAAATCCCGGGCACTCAGCCTCGAGGATACATATCTGGAGATATCGGTCCTCTGGACCACCCGCAGACTCAAGCAGTGACGCTCAACTCGTTTGAATTGGGTGGATACATATTACGGAAATAGGGAGGGATTTTTTTCGATTGAGCACTACTGGTGACGCGGTGCTGCACGGGTGGTCCTCGGGGCCGCGCCGTAGCGGAACGAGCAAATACGCCGTCGGCATTTTTGACGGTGAAATCCGACTAGGTGGGATACAACGAGCTCGTTGCCAATTGACGGGATTACTATCTCTATCGTGATTTTTCGTTTTTTTCTTCTACGGAAGTTGGGAGGTGCAAAGGAATTTTGATGCGGCATGATGTATCAATATTTTGTTTACATCTTTTAATTTCGACATTTCGACTACATGGAGAGAAATATTCAGTAAAAATTACGGAACAATTCACGTAATCCACAATGGGGAATCGTTTTCCGGCAATTTTTATAGGAGTGGAAGAGAAGAAATCTGAAACGTTCAGTTAATTCTCAGGTTCATCACCGAACAAAGTATGAAGTTGTCACATAATTTTTCCCGAAGAAGGGAAATCTTACAAAAACTTCCCGACTTATTATACCTCCAAAATCAAAAATTCTTAAACGTTCAACAATTTTTATGAAGGTGGTGAGTTATTTCTACATTCCGTTCCGTCAAATTTCTCAATCGCTCGGGAAAAATTACGGAACGACTTATTGTCTCCACGGCGGTGAGTCATTAGACGGGTGGTTAATTTTTACGAACCAAATCGTAGAGTTTATGTGGCGATTCGTACAATTTCAGTTTCGACCCACACTTTTTATTGAATTTTACTTCGCTCGCGGATTACGTTTCGAAACGTAATTTTTACGTTTTTTTTCTGGTAATTTTTATTGAATTTTTCTCTCCGTGTATTGTAGTTTTGAATTTTTTAAATATTTCCTTCTTGGAAAGTGAAGGTTTCTGAGAATTTCTATTGATTGCGTAGTATAGTGAATGAAAAATTTTATTTTTGTTTTTAGTGTCAATTTCAAGAAACAGTTACAATTTTATTAGGACGAATCTATTTTTTGGAACATAGAGTACGATGATTGGTTAAAAATTATTTTGTTTCTTTTAAATGAATAAGTAATGAAAAAAAATATTTCTTATTTGTTTACAGATGGAGGCAGACTGCAGAAAGAACTGACATACGTATCAGAGGCCCTCGGTGAATCAGCAATCTCTATTCATCAGCTCAATCAGCTCGTAATACAAACGCCGCGGCACTCCGGGGGAAAGATGTTGCATTCAGCTGCTCTGAAGGACCACTTAGCAATGTTGAAGAGTGCGACGCAGGTTACTATTGATATGTACGAAACGTAAGTACCAAATCAATCATGTTTTCCTCAAATCCTTCAGATGAAAGGAAAATCGTAGACTCATGATTTTTCTCTCTACTTGGAGCATGATAAAATTGGATTGGTTTTCTACTGATAAAGATGATTTATTGTATACCTTTCATAGCTTCAATGGTTGATATAAAGTTTGCAGACGATTTATCAGTTAAATTCAAAATTCAATCGTTCGTAATCTGCAATATATCTCAGCAAATCAAATTAAATTTTGGACAAATTAAAACATTAAGTCTATCGTTAAAAATAGTACCCAGCTAATAATTTACCGGTAAATTTCCGGATATTTATCGGTCTTGCTGGGGACTTTTGGATGGCATCCGTAAAAATTGTTCCCTGGGTAGGAATCTGATGTCTATCACTTATGTAACTTTGTGGATATCTGTTGATACTTCCATATATGATAGTGATGATATTGAACATGCGTGAGTATACACAGAGAAGCAAAAGTGTTACCTTCCAGAACTCATCGAATGTCTTTCGAAACTCATAGTTCCAGGTGGCATTGTACTGAGAATCAGAAACTGACTACTTAATTCCAGGAGAAAACTCCATAAAATTGAATATCAAAAATATACTTATTTCAAGTGAGAATAGTTCATTCTTAAATCAGAAATCTTTGCGTTTCTAACCTAAGGAAATTCGTAAGAGGTAAAATCCTCGAATAACTGAACATGAATTACTTTGAATTTGATTTATGAACATGAAATCATCAATTCAAGATCGTAAATGTTCTTGATTTGAGATTCCGAATGTCCTAAGATTCTTATTTTAACAAGTCAAAAGCTCGGAATTCCAGAACCATAATTTTCTTAAAATAAGAAAAAATGAGCCCCAATTCAACCAGAATTATACTTGATTAAAATAACAGACGTTTAAAAAAAATTTTCTCGAGATAAGTAAAATTTCATTGATTTCCAGGATTTTTTGATCACTCAGAGGTTTTTTTTACTGGAAATTAAAACTTTTTTCTCTGTATATAACCATGATGTTGTCCGAGAGCACACTTCCATTTACTCGAATAAAATACAAAATCATAAATAAATGACTTTTCATTTTCTGTTAATGACTCAGCATTATAACTTTTTCTTACAGCACGTGGGGTCTCAAGGAATTGTGTCATGGACCGAGTATACCGAATCTCGATCTTGAGAACAGCATCAACCAGGTATATGAAAAAGATGATTACACTTGCGTGTACATTTTCTCTTTCTTGATCGTTCACGTATTAATGTTTATCATGATAAAGTTACACATTACGCATGTTTTACATCGCTCTGTACAAGAGTTCCTAACGACTCGCCCGGAAAAGGCGTCACCTAGTATAAAAAACTTGATCTTAACTCCGCATTGAGGGAGAAAAGAGGAGAAAACGTTCAGGGTACTGATTCAATCCGCTAGAAATTAGTTTATGTGCATAGGATAAGTTGCTTTGAAAGTATAGGCAAAATTGTAATGTTATGTCATGCAAAGTTGAAGATATTATATTTCAGTTTCTCAGAATGTTGGTTTTATGGGCAGCTCTCGAAGATTTGAGAGAGTTACAATAATGGGAATTTAATTTTGGAAGGTTTCAATACTTTTCTTTTTTTTCAGATTTTTGAGAAAATTATACCCTGTGCCATTATTACGCCGCTGGACTGCTTTTGGGAAGGAAGCAAGCTCATGGATAATACTGTTCATATTCCGTAAGTTGTATGGATAACTTTACATCAAATGAGTTAGTAAATACTTCAACCAACTGAATAATCTTGATAGATCCTTCAGCAATTAAATTGAAAAATGAACAAATGGATTCTCTCAATTCATGATTTTGTCGTTGGTAGTGTTCAATTGTTATTCTCTGTCTTTCAATTTTCCATGCCAATAGTTGTCATAATTTTTGGCCTGTCAAAATGGAAATACAATGTTATTTTCCTCGCATTAATTTTGTCAAAACATGGGCGAAGACCAATTTCAATTGAATTTCCGTTGATTTAAATTTTGAAGATTTTTAATGCATTCATTCAACTCGATAAATACTTCTAAAATTTGACATTAATTTCATGGTCCACTACAGGTACAATTCGAAGCCACTCGAGTGGACTAGTCTCAACCCATCCGCTCTCCTGGAACAGATGAAGGAGTTTCATATCACCTTTCCATTCAAAACCCTCGAGGACTACATGAAACGAGCCGGAATAACGAATGGCTATCAGAGTAAGCCCTGCCTCGATCCGTACGATCCCGAGTGTCCGAGCACCGCGCCGAACAAGAATTCACGGCAGGTAAAAACGAAAACGAGTTTTTTTGTCACTTCTTAATTTTAATTCCCGTGTCACTAAAATCTCAGAAATTCAATGGAATCGTTATACACGTAATAATAATGGTGAGTACCTGTTCTGCTCCTCTTGAATGAAACAATGTTGCCGATTGTATTCCTCTGTCGTAAACTCAAGGAGCATTGAGGAATACAAATTCGTTGAGTTTAGCATTCTGTATACGCCAAGAAGTTTATAATATTTTTCATATCTCTAGGGATTCTTCCACTTACTTTCAACCATTTGATTCTTACTCCCTTATATGGAAAAAAAACGTTGATAATTCATAAATTATTCAAAGTGATATCAATGAAAGCACTATTTATGCATCCTTCTGAAATAAATGTGCTGTGAATGTTCTTTGACGGGAATTGTTACAACTAAATAAAAATGATGAAAAAAAAAGTCGACAATTCTTATAAAATTTTCAATTGTAAAACAACTTATTTCACAGTCATAAAATTGACAAGTGAATCGATGAATTATCGACCAGTACTCCGATTTTTTTTCATTGCATTTCAAAAGAAAAACTGCTAATTATTTTCCCTCTCTTGTACCATCTTGATTCAAGATTTGCAAGCTGTAGTCGTTATAATTTTTTAAATCTTTCTGGTGAAACCATTCAGATGGAAAATTTGCTCATTCCAATGATAATCCTTATTTCACAGGAACATGATGAAACATTAATAAAATACAGAGAGCATATGATGATGAACAAAATCAACTCATATGATGAACATCCCCAGTATGAAAATGGTAAAAAATAAGGCGATGGGTATGCAAGTCGCGTGGATGGACGGGTAGCATTAAAATAATAAAATCGCAAGATGTGTGTCATTATTGTGCAACGCCGGTGGTCGACCGTAGATTTTCTCGAGTAAAAGACGGAGAGAGACAGCTTAAACACCGCCGGCTATTACCCACCCATCATTTCACTGGCATTATTAACATACACGGTGCCTCAGTGTCTCGTCTCCCTCTCCCTCCCATCACTTCATTCAACCTCGTCTTTTCCTTCACTGCTTTTTTCATTTTTCTTCCACGAATGTGTGTACAAGAAACATTTGTGCTCTTTCTCTTTCACATGATTACCGCTATTCCAGACGTTCATGATGCATCAGTAAATACTCATGTTTAACGTGGAGTGTAGCCTTTCTTATTATCCCTTTTCTTAAGGGTGCATGGGATGGAATTAATTGCACACATGTTTGAATTATTTCTGGTATATATATATATATTACAAATGATCCAGAATTGTGTTGAATGAAATTTTCATGATAAGTTGAAATCCACAATTTACCTAGAAAACTAATTAAAAAATCTTGGGTGAGAAATTGCTTCATTGAAACCAACAAATAAGCGAATAAATTTGTATTAATTAATCCCTTGTAATTAATTATTCAATCAATTTATGTATTTCATTTCACTTTAACCTCTCCCTCTCCGCTCCCAGCCTTCCCCCTATCTTTTTGCCCACCATCCCATGTACTCCTGTCCGTAGTTAAGGTAATTGCACTTAATGGGCGAGAGCACTCTGCATACTTCTCCCTTTTCATATTCTCCATTTTTTTTATACTTTCGTTCTTTTACCCCGAGGATGCAGAAAAAAACCTCGTAAATTTATCGAGTGGATCGATCATTTCCTTTTCTGAGCGCCTGGACAATATTCACTGCAGGGTACAAAGAGAATGGGATGAAGAGGGAACTGAGAAGCCGAATTCTTTGGACATTAGTCCCGCACACCTGCCGGTTGTCTCTCCTGTTATTGGGAGAGCGGATGAAGTCTTTCAACAGCTGTTAGTTAACAACTGTTAAATATTGTCATCGTAGAGTTAAATGGGCGTATATTATATAGCTCTATAAGCATAGCTTATGGAGTTCTTTCAATCTGCCGTGGCGATATGTTTTCTATTGGCCGTGACAAATGTTTATAGTTCTCTCTAGTATCTCCATGAACCAACCCTTTTATTTTCTTCTCTATTCCTTAATTTCTATTTAATTTTAACTATTAAATTTTCTTATTTCTTTACAGCTCCCAGATATCGGTTATGAACTGACTGGCGGTTGTTACGGTTACGCTGCAAACTACATGCACTGGCCAGAAGAACTCGTCGTTGGTGGTGGCGAACACAACGAAAATGGTTATCTGAAGCGCGCTGCTGCCCTTCAGTCAGTTGTTCAATTGATGGGTGAACACGAATTCTACAATTACTACCGAAATCACATGAAGACCGAGCGCATCGAATGGACGGTTGACAAAGCCTCCCTGATTATGGAAACATGGCAGCGTGCATTCAGTGACCAAGTGAAGCGACACTTGAACTCATCGGGCGCCTCCGCTCTCTACAACTCGTACACTTTCAGCACAATCACGATGAACGATATTCTGGGGAAATACAGTCAGTTTTCGATGATGAATATTGCAATTGGTTGTGGCCTAGTTCTCCTCTACTCATCAGTGGTTCTCCTGAGATGGAAGGATCCAGTTCAATCTCAAGCAGGCATCGCCATTGCCGGTGTCCTCCTTGTCTGTGCAACAGTTGCAGCAGGTCTGGGCTTCTGCGCAATCCTGGGAATTCCCTTCAACGCAATTACCACCCAAATTGTTCCTTTCCTCGCCCTAGGCCTCGGAGTTCATGACATTTTCCTTCTGACTCACACATACGCCGAATTAGCAGTGAATGAAGTTCCCAGTAGTGAGCAGACAGGCTTGGTACTGAAAAGAACTGGACTGTCAGTCCTCCTGAAAGGATTGAGCAATGTCGCGGCGTTTTTCGCAGCCTCTATTATACCAATTCCTGCCTTGAGAGTATTTTCTCTACAAGCAGGAGTTCTCATTCTATTCAACTTGGCCGCCATGCTTGTCGTCTTCCCCGCCATGATCAGCATCGATCTAAGAAGGCGAAGGTACGGAAGATTTGATATCTTTTGCTGCTACTTACCTGCCCTCTCAAATGATAAGAATCGAACCGTCAAGCATCGATCTTCCTCGGTGAGATCGACCAGGAAGGAGATTCACACTGACATTCTTCCAAAACGAAATGATAGAAATGAGTCGTGGGTGGGGGAAAGTGCACTTGAGAATACCGAAAATGATAAATACAGCTCTGAAGAAGACACATTGACTGGTTGCACTCAAGATGAATGTCTAACTTTTTCATTAACCAAGTTTGCAGCTAAACATTACGCCCCATTTGTCACTAAACCGACGACAAAAGTCTTTGGAATTTTGATACTGGCTGTTGTCCTATCCGGAAGTGTTTGGCAGGCTATTAAAGTTGAGGACGGCTTAGACTTGACTGACCTGGTACCCCAAGGTTCTGATGAACATGCTTTTTTGACAGCTCAGACCAAGTATTTTGGATTTTATAACATGTGGGCCATCACAGGAAGAGACTTCGACTACCCCAATAATCAAAAATTATTGCATGAGTATCATGATGCATTCATGAGAGTCAACAGAATCATAAAAAATGATGATGGTGGTTTGCCGAAATTTTGGTTGGAGTACTTTCGGGATTGGTTAAGAAATTTGCAGACTGCCTTTGACAAGGATTACAGAAATGGTTGTATTACCCAGGAAAGGTGGTACAAAAATGCGAGTGATGAGGCCATCTTGGCGTATAAGTTACTGGTGCAGACTGGTCATGCTGATAATCCTGTCGATAAGACCCTTCTGACGCAGGTGAAGTTCGTGGATTCCGATGGAATTATCAATCCTAGGGCGTTTTATAATTACTTGAGTGCTTGGGTCCATAACGATATTCTTGCTTATGAGAGTAGTCAAGCTAATCTTCGGCCTCAACCAAGGACCTGGATTTTCGCTAGGGACGATGAGGATCTGAAGATTCCGAAGAGTATTCCTCTTACTTACGCACAAATGCCATTTTATCTACATAAATTAACGGATACTACTGCCATCACTGAGCTCATAAGCAGTATCAGGGCTATTTGCAAGAGGTTTGAGGAGAAGGGACTCCCCAATTTCCCATCGGGGATTCCTTTTGTCTTTTGGGAGTATATGGATTTGAGAAGATGTTTGGCAATTGCTCTCATTTCTGCGTTGGGTGTGAGTGTCGCAGTGATGGCAGTTCTACTTTTGAATTTGTGGGCAGCTTTGCTGGTTGGAACTTCCCTAGCGGGAGTCGTATTACAGTTGGCGGGAATAATGAGATTGGTGGGAATGAAACTCAATGCTGTACCTGCAGTTTTACTAGTTATCAGTGTGGGAATTGCTGTCCACTTCAGTGTTCACATTTGTTTGGTAAGTCTTGTGCAATTTATTTAATTTATAGAAATCATCTGAAAAGTAGATGATTTGCATTTAATAAAATCATTTGACATTTATATGGAAAATGTGAATGTGATTTTTTAATTTTGGAATTTTTTCTGTTTCAGAGTTTTATAACAAGTGTTGGTAGCAGAGATCGTCGAGTACGTCTCGCCCTCGAGCATATGTTTGCCCCTATAGTTCACAGTGCCTTAACAACAGCCTTAACAGTGATGATGCTGGCATTTTCCGATTTCGAATTCATTGTCAGATACTTTTTCCTCATCCTCATCTGTTTGATTGGAATTGGAACTGCCAATGGATTGTTCTTCTTCCCCATCCTATTGTCACTGGTGGGACCATCGCCAGAAGTGATTCCTCATGAGCATCCTGATCGGATATCAACACCCACACCACCAGCTTCGCCTGTTGTTAGGCGGTCGAAGCCTCCTGCACCTCCTAGGAGACCTCATAAAATAGATAGTTCACGAATTCAATCAAAACCTTCCTTAACTACAATTTCTGAGGAACCAAATTCACTCAACAGTACGCAGGATTCGTGTAGTGCTCAGCCGGAGGTGAAGGTTGAAGCTATCACCACACGTGGAAATCAGGTCAGTTGGAGAAATTATTGTTTTATCATTGAATTATTTTCCATTATTGATTCCTTTCCCCACTCTTTGGAATCGATTTTTCTCATTTGTGCATTAGCGCATGGCTAACCAGTGTTTATTTTTTCTACTAACAGAACTGTGGCGGTTCTGATACAAGCGGGTCTAGTCGAACATCACCAGTGCCGTCCACATCACATCATCGACCGCATCACACATGGAGTGTTCATTTTGATAGCGACAGAGTCACTTTGGACAGTGATCTGGTCACTGTACAAGTTCACACCGCACCCACAAGTAAGTATTTTTTCTCTTATTTTGCAAAGGATTTTTATTAATAATCATTTGTGCTTATTAAATTCGCTTATTCCCTGCAACTCAAATTGTTGGAGATTATGAAAGAGAATATTCATATGATGGAGAAGAATTAATTTCCCTATTATCATTGGTTCCCTATTATCATCACTTCCCTTCTCTTTGAGCCAAATTAATTTTTATTAATTTCGTTATTTAATGAATGGTTTCAGGTGGAGTGGATCGTGGTGAAAAATGCCGCCATTCGTCCTCAAGTAGCAGACGCTCATCACGGTGTAGTGCAAACATTAATACGTCAGAGTCATCGAGTTCGAGCTCTGAGCCGGATACTGACAATGTCAATGCCAAACACTGACAATAATGTATACCGGGACGACCGGCAGCTACTGCTCAAGTACCACGCGAAGCGGGAAAATACAGAAGGCTGACTAGGTTAATTTTTCAAATTTAATCTCTCTACCCCTCTTTTTTACCCTCCAAAAATCTTACGAATTAACGTGAGCGGTTCTTTTGATCGTTCAATTTACTGGATAATAAAGAAAATCTGTATTATAATTCGAATGAAATGAACTATGGAATTTCGGGAACATTTTTGAGGAAGGGAAAACAATTGATAAGAAATCTCATCTTAAGAAACTACATTTCAAGTATTTTTAGGGAATTTTTTTCCCCTGTTATTTCACGAATGACTGTAAAATTTTCTTCTTTTGTACTTAGATTACAGAATGCATTTTATGCATTTTATAAAGCACATTCGGTAACTACCATCGAAAGTGCATATGAAAATATGTAAATGGTTTTTTTTTATTGACTCGAAATAGTCAGAGACATTTGATTAGGAAAAAAACATCAAATGTATACGGGAATTAATGTATTGATTGAAATGTTTTGTATTGTGTCTCTGATGAATTTTATAAGATGAACAATTGTACATAGGATTGTTTTAATTGTTAAGAAGAGCGGAAGAATGAACAAAAAAAAAGTTGAGTTCATTAAGAAAAACTAGTTAAATTCGTTACCAAGTGAATTATTGGCTTTGTTGTGAATTGAGAAGCCTTTGGAGTGGTTCATTAGTCACGTGAGAATAAATTTATATTTTACGCTTTTTAAAAGAATGCATTCGACATATCGATATTTTTTTGAATTTTCTGGTGAAGAATTTACTTTTTAAAAAATTCAATTGATTTTTTGGATTCACTCGCAAGAAGAAAATCTGATCATTCATTTTCGCTTTTCGATTCATTAGTTTTTCATATTAAAAAATGTCATCAATTTTATGAGCAGTATGTGTGTGATTGATTGTGCGATTACGGGAATCTCAAATTTTATTTATTATTTATTTAAGTTACTAATTCCTTCCCTTTGCCCCTCCAAAACTGTTATTCCGTATTTAAAACGTTGAACCAGTAAAGGTTTTGTACAATCATTTTCCACGTGGTGGCTTGTAAAATAACACTAAAAAATACTCAATTTATTTATGTCGTATTTTTCTAGTGTGAACGAATTAAAATTACTTAATTTAATCAATTAAGGTATACAATATTTTATTATTTTATTTAGTAAACTGAGAATTTTACCTCTACTGTAAAAAGCTGTAATATATTGTGTAAGGTTTTATGGAGTTAGGAGGAAACGATTACTTTATAATGAATATTTTGATATTGAAAATAATTAATGTACAATGTTGATAAAAATTGTTTATCTTGTTCCAAATTATTTGCTCCACAGTTGAACAAAGAAAAATTATTTCAAATAAAATGGAAGCTTTGTATTCGTGCAAGTTTAAGTTTCCAATTTTTTGTGTCAGGGTAACTAAATATGATCTAAAAAGTTCGAATATGTGTGTGTGTTTTTTTTTTCTTCCTACGTCATGGTCTGGAAAATGCTCTTTACGCACGTTGTGCCCGAGTCAGTCAGGTCTTGACGGTAACGACCACGAGCCCACCGATAAGTGGGACCTGCTTTCAGCTCGGCAAATTTGCAATCCATACGGACTAAAAAACAGACCACGACACTGTAATTCTACTCCCCCCATGTAACCGCCGTTAGGCATTACTTCGCAGGGGTGGTCTTAGCCGCAGCTCTCCCATCAGGTGGTTGAAGACAATACTTCCTTCTTCTCGGATGTTCTCATTACTTCCTCCTGGCCTGCTCCTCGCGTCGAAGTTCTTTCAGAACTTCGGCTGCGAACGTGCTCGTGGCGTCCCACGCTACTTTCGATGAAATCATGATTTTCACCAGGTCTTCAGGTGGGACTGTCTGTTCCACTGCAGTCTCCCAACTAATGCGAAGCCATGCGAAGCGTTTGCATCTGAAAAACACGTGCTCAGCATCTTCTCCTTCTCCACTGCAGGTCGGGCACTCCAGGGTCTCTTCAAGTTTGAATTTCTGAAGATACTTCAGGAAGCATCTTTGTCCTGAGAGCATCTGCGTCAGATAGTAGTTGACCTCTCCGTGGGGACGGTTCAGCCAAATATCTAACTGTGGTATTAGACGGTGAGTCCACCTTCCTTTCACTGAGGTATCCCACAACACCTGCCATCGGCTGGTGCTGTTCCGTCTCTCCTTTTCCCTGAGATCTTTTGGGCTCAATGTAGTGTGCCTTCTCCGCCGGTAAAGACACATCCGCTCTTCAGCCAATACTTCGATGGGCAGCATTCCGGCGATCACACAAACTGCATCTTCCGACACTGTGCGGTATGCGCTAGCAACTCTCAGGGCGCTCTGCCGATAGACGGGAGCGATCTTACGCCGAGATTCCTGGAACTGGAGCGCATCGGTCTAGATGGGAATCCCATAAGTCAGCACTGACGTCACCACCGTAGACAGCAGCGCTCTTCTTTTTTGTTTGGGACCTCCAATGTTTGGCATGAGGCGGGATAAGAGTGTTCGAACCCCTGAGATCTTGGTTGCCACGTGTTCCACCTGCTGCTTGAAGGTCAAGCGGGTATCAATCATCACTCCCTGGTACCGAATGAACGGTTGGGAAGTGAGTTCATAATGCCCAACTTTCAGCGTGATTGTCTCAACTTTTTTCCGACTAGTAATCAACATGGCCTCCGTTTTGTGTTCTGCCAGTGTCAGCCCCACTATGTCCATCCACCGACGTATCTCCTCAAAGATTAGGTTGAATGGGAGATGGATCTCCTCCAGGTGTTTCGCCACAATCACCACAGCAACGTCGTCCGCAAATGCCACAAGCCTCGCGTCATTTGGCAGCGTCAGCTTCAAGAGTCCGTCATACATGATATTCCACAGCAGTGGACCCAGCACAGAGCCCTGAGGAACTCCCCCGGTGACTCTGTACTCTTTGGGACCAGTCTGCGTGTCATATTTAAGGATCTTGTCAGTGAAATAGCTCCTGACTAAGTTCTGCAGGTATTCGGGCACATGAAAAACCTTAAGAGCCCTCATGATGCAATCCCACCTGGCAGAGTTGAAGGCGTTCTTGATGTCTAGTGTTGCTACCAGACAGTAATTCTTTGTGCCCCCTCTCCATCGGGTTCCCGAAATCGCATCCTTGGCTGTATTGACGACGATGTCAATAGCATCCAGGGTGAAGTGATTCCTTCGGAAGCCATGTTGTTCATCAGCAAGCAGCGGGTCGACTACTGCTTCGATCCTCCTATGAGCGATTCGCTCAAGGATCTTCCCGGCTGTGTCCAACATGCAAAGTGGACGATAAGATGATGGCTCGTCCGGCGGATTCTTCCCTTTCGGGAGAAGCACTATNCGAAATCGCATCCTTGGCTGTATTGACGACGATGTCAATAGCATCCAGGGTGAAGTGATTCCTTCGGAAGCCATGTTGTTCATCAGCAAGCAGCGGGTCGACTACTGCTTCGATCCTCCTATGAGCGATTCGCTCAAGGATCTTCCCGGCTGTGTCCAACATGCAAAGTGGACGATAAGATGATGGCTCGTCCGGCGGATTCTTCCCTTTCGGGAGAAGCACTATCCTCTGCTGCTTCCACTTCGGAGGGAAGTAACCTTCAGTTATGCATGCATTGTAAGCATGCAAAAACAGCGCTGGCACTGCATGCTTCCATCAGTTCATCTTCTATGATAGGCGGGATGGCCTCCACCTCACATTGTCTTGATAGCCGGTTGAGCTCTCTTTGTTGAGGGAACAGCACCGAGATGATCTTCTCCAGGAGCTGGGGACATGTCGGTGAGGGCATCGGCTGACTTCTCAGCCGCGACATCACGACCTTATAGGGCCTTCCCCATGTATCATCCTCAACTCCATCCACTAGCTCCTTCCAGGCTTGCCTCTTGCTGCACTTTATTGCCTTGTTCAGTTCTCGGCGCGCACTCTTGTATTGGGCCTCCAGTTCTTCGGAGTTTGGCCTTTTCCTGCTATGTTGTGATAACCTCCTCGCCCTGAGACACTCCTTGCGGAGGGTAGTGATTCGATCATTCCACCAATGTACCAGTGGGAGCCGGCTTTGAGTACGCTTTCGAGGCATCGCAAGCGGCCGTGACTCTCCTCATGATCTCGCTGACCTTCTCCATGGCATTTCTACCATCGATTGGGCGAGCGTCCAGCGCAACCAAAAACGTGTCAAGGTCGAAGTTGCTAACCTTCCAGCCAATTGTATTGGTTTACAGGCTGCTTCCCCAACCCTCTGAACCGTCGATACCTCCCATAGTATTGCACAGTGGTCACTGGCTGTGTAGAAGTCTGCTACTTCCCAGGAGTAATTACCCCTCAAGAGGGCACTGCTCACAAAGGTCAGGTCCACAATCTAACTTGCCTCTCCCCGCATGAATGTTGGTTTTTCACCACTATTGAGGAGAACTACATGTATAGTTGACATAGCCTCCAGTAGTGCTCGTCCCCTTACGTCGGTGTACCTGCTGCCCCAATCGACCGCCCAGGAATTGAAGTCCCCGGCAATTGCCGGCGGGAAAGTGCTGCCTCACATCCTCAGTCAGTCAATCCAGAAAGACGGTGAACTCATCGAAGGTGAGGCTGGGTGGAGCATAACAGCTGTAGAAACGAATTCCCTCCAGCTTAGCCTCTACAAAGTACACCTCTCCACAATTGACCACGCTCTGGAACGGACACTTACCACAGAACCAAATAATGGCCCTAGTGATGGTATCCGTTACCCACGGTTGTGTGGCCAGGTGTCAATACGGCTCCGAGATCAGCGCCAGGTCTATTTCCAGCTCACGCAACGTCTGCATAAGCAGATCATGTGCGACCTCACAGTGATTGAGGTTCAGCTGGAGTACCCTCATCTTCGTTTATTGCACATCTTCTGGTATGCTTCCCTGTAGACCGGGCATCTACTGCTGCCGGCTACATGAGCAAGATTTTCCACGTTCCCTTTCTCAACGCACAGAGCGTATCGGGCATCCATCTGGCAGTCAGCAGACTTATGGCCCGTTTCTCAGCGTCTGATACAGAGTTTTGCTCGGTCTGCTGTGTTCGTGCATCTGGTGGACAGGTGTCCATAGTGCCAGCACTTGAAGCACTTTACAGGTCTCTCCACCCTTCTTATCCGGCAATTGGTCCATTCTATGCGGATCTTACCGTGCTCACCTACGACCACCGCAGCCACCGTTGCTGCCAGCGCTACCGAGGCAGTTTGGGCGTCCCTGTATGCTTTGCGCAGCGAGTTGATAGCATCGAGGGTGATGTCGCATCCCTCCCCGGCTGCCCTTTGGAGTGCTGCGAGAACTTCCTCCTTGGTCGTAGTCTCCTCAATGGCCCTAATCTCAAGCTCCTCTTAGGGCCCCTTACTGATGATTTCGGCATCATCCCCGAGGATATCAGGTATGGCCTTCTGTAGGTCATGTCCTTTATCCACTGCATCCTTGGTCAGGATAATCAACAAATCTCCAGTGGTTGTTCTCCTGATTTTCTCAACACAGGCGGTGACCCGCTCGGTGGAAACATCCGTCTTCACCCGCCGTAGCATCTCCTACTCATTCAGGATCTTCTCAAGTCTCTCCCACGCTTAATGTGTCTGCATTGAGACACTTGCATTAAATGCTGCTTGTTGGGCATGCTGCCCGCTCATCCCTCCTATATCTTCCATTATTTTTGTTTTATAAATTTCCTCCATTCTGTTCTCACGAGTACCTAGGGAAGTATAAGAGTCCACTCCTGAAGCCCAGGTGTAGGAGTAAGGCCACTTAATACACCTGGGGTGGGACTTGGTGCCCCAAGGACCACCGTTCGCGACGCCAACTACCCCTGGCGCCTTCCAGAACTTAGCACGGTGAACACCTTCACATTAGGGCAGGCTTTTGTAGGGAGCCCACCCTGCACGCCTCCTTTGGAGTTGGGCTTCTCTTCTATGATGTCCTGAAAAGACAGACGTCGGTTCGAACTGCTTCGTAGTTTGGGAACATCCCTCAAGCCCCTCCACCGTCGACAAGGTGCTGCAGTTCCTAGGAGGTGTGTGGATGTGGGTTTTTTTTTCTCAGAGGGAAAAATGCATTTACGCACACGCTCGGGTTTGGAAATTCCCAGAGAGTAGTGCCCGACTCGGTCTAGTCTGGATGGTGGCGAC